CAGCAGCTGGGAAAAGGACCAATGTACCGATAGAGATCATTAGATTTGTGCTGCATCTACAACTGAAATATCATGTACAATTTTAGTTGGCATAATAGAGCAAGAAAAACATTTAAAAGTGGGCATTGAAATGATTGGGGCCATGAGCATTTTCCACACAAGGAAAAAGTTATTGTGAATGTTCGGGTTCTTTTGTTTGAAAAAAAAAGGCAGCTTGAGAGAGGGTCATGATCCAAGGATATAAAATAATGCATGGCATGAGAAAAGTGTACCAGGCGAAGCTTCTGTTAGAACAATAAAATTAGAGACATCTAATGAAGAAAAATTATAGGTATAAAAATAGAGAAGGATCACCTTTCCTTCCAAATAATGAAGTCATTATCAAAAGACGTAATAGTGACCACTGACTTGAAGGGCTTCAAAGAGGGATTTGGATGGGAGGATGCTCGTGGACAACTGGCCTCTCAAAGGCTGTTCTCATGGTCAGGGATAAAATAGGAAGGAGTGCTCTGCTGTGTCACCTTGAGCTCTCGGAGGAAAAGCAGGATATAACAAGTAAGTAAGAAATGCTTTCAGGAAGGTCATAGGGCAGAGATAGCTAAACTTTTCTGGACCGAGTGCCTAAAACATGTGTGTGAACATACAAATGCACACATACGCTTCCTAACCCCCAAAATGCAATGTACATTTGGCCCCCGCGCATGCCCCCCGACCCCCCCATTCATGCATACAACCCCATGCATGGTCTCAGATCCCTGTACATGCATGCTCGGGCCCACATGCATGCTTGTGCAGCCCCCAGTATGTGCTCATCCCTGCATGTGTGTGTGGCCCCCGCATGTGCATGTGCCTCCCCCCCGCCCATGTACACCATGTTCCCCACACATGCACAGCAGAGACCCAAAGGCCAGGTGGCTTGCAGGAGTTGCACGCGGTGGAGCTGAGCTAGGGCGACGGTTCACGTGCCCACAGAGAGGGCACTGCACGCCACTGGCACACGTGCCATAGGTTCACCATCACGGTCATAAGGGAAAGTTAACTCACAGCTCAACTAGTGGTGAAGCTTCCACCTTTTCAGGAAACCAAGTGCCTGCATAGTTGAGGCCAATCCTAGCATAGCTGTGCCACCTTTTCCTGTTCCTTTTTTTTGCTTTTCCTGCAGCTTAGAGATCATCCAGTGGAAACCAGGACCAAAGTGGTAAAGCGGCACGGCCAGCTTTATGTGACCAAAACTATAGTGGAAAAAGATGTGAGTAAAATGAGCTGTGCCTAAAGAACCTGGAATATTAGCCCAGTTCCCTTGTCCTCACAATTCATGAGAATTAGTTGATTATAATATCTATAGCTGTACCAAGATATGAAGACAGGACTAACCCTTCTTCCTTCACCCACCCTTCAGTTACATCAAGATCCCCACACCCAGCCAGCCAGGCTGAAAACTCCAGACGTCTGTGAGAGTGTCGCCAGCCTATGAAACTTGCCTAACTTGTTGCTATGAATCCTGTTAAATCAAATTAACCACAGTAAGATAGATTAGGGAAGGCTGCCCTAGTTGATCTTTTCATTTAACTGCCTTATGAAAGCTAATGTGGTGGCACAGGTGGAGAGACCTTGGAGCTAAGGACTGCAAAAGCACTTTGCATCCTGGGCAGAGTGACAAATGGTATTTTATTTCCCTTCTGTGTCTGTGCTTCACCTTCGCTTCCATGCTGTTGCAGTAGTGAACACCTGAACAATTGGACTATATAATCTCTCTTCTAATTCTTGATGGTACCCTCAAGACAACATAACTGGTATTCCCAGCCAGGCTATTTTCAGCCAGGTGTAGGGGATGAGCAGCCTGAGCCCGAGGGAGGGGTCCCTGCACGCCCATAAGAGATCTAAGTCCTTAAATTCCTTTCTATTCTTAACTCCCGCTAATTTCCCTTGACTGTTAGTAGTTCAGATTCTTGTAGAGAGCTTAAGCTTGTAATAAATCTTTATACTCCTTTGAACTGTCTAGATCTCCTGATTTCCCTGGTGCTTGATACCAAGTGACTATCCCTAATCCTGTCAAATTTGCTGAAGGGTCTTCAGAGCATATTAAAGCATCTCTTTAACACTTATTCTCCGAAGGGCCTTGAGCAAATATGTGCCTATTCACACCTTTCTTGGGACTTGCTAGCTTGCTGCCCTATCCCATTTCATTTTTAAAGGCTCCTTTTCATTGAAAACAAAGGCATGGGAAGCTCATATGGCAGAAATCAAATACTGATGGCCGGACTATTCTTGGTTCTTTATTGGCCTTCTGAGATAAACACCCAGTGTGAAAAAGAAATGGCATGTGGGTGGGAATTCCTGCTTGGACATCATTCCTTCCACTGTCCTCTTGGCTTGCTGAAGAGAATATTGTCTTATATGGCATTTCTTATTTTCTGAGGCAGGGGGGATGGCTACAAGCCAACTTGAAACTAATTCTGAAGGTTTAGGGGACATAAATAAGGATGTGCTTGGAAGGGAGCATGTAGATTTAATGTCAAATTATAAACAGATTGCTTTTTTCAGAAATGAGAACACTAAAACTCCTAGTCTGAATCAGTTTGGGTGAAGAGGGAAGGAGAATTATGATCTTGTATTCCTCTTCCTCTGTCTTGCCAAAAATGGTAGCTTGGTCTTGGGTATGCCATCTATAAACCCCAAACATTTTTCTTCAAGATGGTGTGCTTTTCTGGTTGTTGTCTGAGCTTTTGTGAAGGATGTCTAACCTTTTCTGTCTTCCTCAGGAAAAGATCAACGTCAGCACATTCTCTTATAGATGTGCACAACTTGAGGGCCTCATCTCAGAATCTGCCAACTTCTTGATACTACGGGTGATGGCCAGGAGGCAGTCCTTACCAGAAAATGCTGTTTTCCTCTCATTCGACTCTGACCAACATGTCTGTACCTCTACCTATGTAAGCTCAGGTTGTGGGTATATTATAATGGAACCACTGGATATCCAGAAATATAGTGGGAATTCTGTCTTGGAAAACAACTATAGATGAGCAGTAGAGCACATGTTTTGTCCACAAAAGATGCCAATGTTAGCCTTGACATCCCTGGATAAAAACTGGGGAAATCTGTCTGAATCTCAAATGACCACCAATCAACTTAAGACAGTAGAAAGTTATTTGGATTTACAGTGTCCCTCATTATAAAGCAGTATCTTGTAGCTCTCTTGTTGTACTTTGACTTACCGTATTTTTCGGAGAATAAGACGAACCTTTCACCCAAAAGGGTGAAATTCTGGGTGCGTCTTATACACTGAATACAGCATTTTTGGCCTCCTGAAACCCTGTCCCCTTTCCAAAAAATGGCCATGCATAGCCTTTAGGAAGCTTCCAGAGTGCTCCTGGGAGCTGGGGAGGGCAAAAATGAGTGAAAAACAAGCTGTTTTCTGCTCATTTTTGCCCTCCCAGCCTCCAGGAGCATTCTGCATGCCCTTTTTTTCTGACAAAAAAATGGGCCTGTTTTCATTAAAAAACGGGCTGTTTTTTCCTAATTTTTGCCCTCCCCAGCCCCCAGGAGCACTCTACAAACCCCCTAAAGGCTATGCATGCCCCCTCCCCTTTTCTTTTTACAAAAATGGGCCTGTTTTCATGAAAAATGTGCCATTTTTGGGAGAACTGTAGAGTGCAAACACTTTTTTTTTAATTTTCCTCTTCAAAATCTTGGTGCGTCTTATACTCTGAAAAATACAGTATCTTTTTCTTCTTCTGTATTTATAATTGGTAACAAAAAAAAGAAGTTCAGGAAGTCCTTAATCTACAATCACAATTGAGCCCAAAATTTATGTTGCTAAGTGAGACATGTGTTAAGTGAGTTTTGCCCCATTTTATGACCTTTCTTGCCACAGTTGTCAAGCGTATCATTGCAATTGTTAGATTAGTGTCATAGTTGTTAAGTGAGTCCTGTTTACCCATTGACTTTGCTTGGCAAAGGGTCGCAAAAGATGATCACATGATCCCAGGATTCGGCAACCGTCATAAATATGAGTCAGTGGCCAAGAATCTGAAGTATGATCACGTGATCAAGGGGGATGCTGCAACAGTCATAAGTGTGAGAAATGCTCATAAGTCACTTTTTTCAGTGATGATGTAACTTTGAACAGTCACTGGACAAACTGTTGTTAAGTCGAGGACTATCTGTATATGTTGAGGCAGAGGATGAAAGGGCAGGGGGTAAAGGATGTAGCCTGTGTTGATGTTGGTGGATAAAAATGAAGTCCAGACACCTCCGCCCAAAGTTTCTGCTTACCTAAAATAAACCCTGAATGTCTCTAGAATATTTAAGGCAGGGAAGAAAGATTACCAGCTGTCCAGACTAAAGTGCAATACGTGGATGAAATGTTGACATCAACTACTTATTCAGTGGAGCAACTAAGACGTGGTCTGAACAGCCATCCTTGTGCATCTCTCTTTCCCATTTATGCCAATCTCTTTCTAGAATAGCCTCGGCTTCCAGAAGCAGAGAGTGAAAAAAGAGGAAGTGGATGTGTTTGTGATGGAGAGGACTGTACACTCCGTGGAAGCGCTCCCACTGAATTGGCAGTACTACTTCCTGCCAGATGGGTAAGAAAGCTCTGGTATATGCGTAGTCTCCGACTTACAACCATTCATTTAATGACAGTTCAAAATTACAACAGCACTGGGGGAAAAAAGTGACTTATCGCCAGTTTTCACACTTACGGCTACTGTAGCATCCCCACGGTTGTGTGATCAGATTTGGGGTGCTTGACAAACGGCATGTATTTACGATTGTTGCAGGCTCCTGGGGTTGTAGGATTGTCATTTGTAACCTTCTTAGGGAACGTCTGATGAGCAAAGTCAATGGGGTACCCCAGAGTTGCTTAACAACTGCATGTTTCACTTAACAGCTGTAGTGATTTGCTTAATAAGCATGGCAAAAATTATCATAAAATGGGGCACAACTGACTTTCTTAACAATGGAAATTTTGGGCTCAGTGGTGNTTCAAATAATTAGCCCCAGAAAGAAGTTGATTAGATGAAGGTCCTGATTTTCAAAATTCAGCACTATGGATAGTTCCTCGTGAATAGAACTGCTCTTTTTATACTGATGAGATTAAACTGACAGTATTTGCTTTTTGTAAACATTCTCTTCATTCCAATGAGCAGACTGATCATTTTGATTATCAATTAAAATGCATAGCTATAATGTGGTAATTTGCCATCCCTTCCTGTCCTAAACCAGCAGAAATCAAGCAAGACAATAGGAGTCCATAAATATCTCATAAGAACAGTCTTTATAATCACATTTAATTGGTTGGGAAGCAGCATTAGCCACAGGCACTGAAAATTATATTCATATTCATTATATTTCAAGATTAAGAATAGAAACTTTCTTCTTCATGAGAATGCCCCTGAAAGTGTAGAATAACATTTCTTCTTCCAAAGTCCAGGAATTCAACTATTCTGCAATGGCACATACTTGGCCATTGCCATCTAACACTATATTGAAGAAGCCCTCTTCACACTTGCAGTAACAAAAGGCAGGTGAATCTGAAAGGTCTTCTTTGGCTCAGATATCCATTCTAGAGTGGCAAAAGTTCTCATTTAAATGCATTTTTATTTTTTATTTTGGTGGTATCACTACCAAAGGCAGACCTCTCTTAGGCCTCCACATGAGGACCTGGGCATCATTGGCATTGGGTTTCACTAGTGCATTTGGTGGGATGGGTTCCATTCGGCTCAAAATCTTAGGCTGTTCCTGTTGAGCTTTCCCCACGAGGCGGGCTCGCTTGCCCAAGAGCTGCATGGGATCAACTTCAATGTCTACTCTCATCCTCCATTTTATAGTCTGCAAAATTATTTTTTCCTTAGTAGTCATATTCATGGCCACTAACCATGTAGTAAAACTTTGGTCCCGTTTGATCCTAGTCAATAGTGGCACATTGCTATCGCTCACAGGGACAGCCCATGTCACACTAGGATAAAAATTGTCATTCATACTGACTGAAAACCTGGAAACTTTATTGGTAGGGCCAATCAGGGTAACAGTTTCTGTGGTGTTCCCATACCAGGGATAGCTCACTCCATCAGAGTCACTGATGGCTTTTACACGTCCTTCTCTCAAGTCTGGAAGTTCCCAGCTTGACCTAGAAAGAGCAGAAGAAAAATACACACTAAGAAAGATGTAGCAACAATTACTAAACAATTACTGTAAATTCCTGTGCTTTATAAAATGATCACAACACAGTCACAACTTGCTATCTGTTATTTAGGCTTTTAAAGAAAAAAGTGAGTAGAGAAAAAATTAGTACAAAGGCACTATCACATTAAAAATAACATATAGCCATCAAAGCTAGTATTCCTAAAAATCTTAATTATTTGTGAATTGATTAAATTGCTTTTCAAAGCCTCACTATTTTTCCTTTTCTTTTCTTGAATTTTCTAACATGCTACTTTATTGGAAATTTCTGGATTTAATATTATGAGGGAGGATTTTCTCTATCACTGTGTTGACATTACAGATAATATACATCTCTGTTGTTACACCTCTATTTTATTGATATTACTATTATAATTTACTAGTTGGTTGGATACCTGTGCTTCACTACGGAACTGGAACAGCAGTAGGTAGCATGAATCTCCTCTCCTCTGCTTGTGTTTTGCACTTGGAAGATATTTCTTTTTGGGTTGGGAGGGGGGAGTAGAACTCCTTAGCATGAGAGTGTGTTAATAATAATATAGGAAATACTAATGCTCTGATGGTCATTTTGAAAAATCATTTCTTAGCGAGGACCTAGAAGCCAAGAGGAACAGACGTGCTTCGCTACGGAACTGGAACAGCAGTATGTAGCATGAATCTCCTCTCCTCTGCTTGTATTTTGCATTTGGAAGATATTTCTTTTTGGGTTGGGAGGGGGAGTAGAACTCCTTAGCATGAGAGTGTGTTAATAATAATATAGGAAATACTAATGCTCTGATGGTCATTTTGAAAAATCATTTCTTAGCGAGGACCTAGAAGCCAAGAGGAACAGACGTGCTTCGCTACGGAACTGGAACAGCAGTAGGTAGCATTCGTCACCATCACACTCCATTATCCTGTAGTTGTAAAGGNAAATTAAAAATGATATGCCAAGATGGGGTACCCCAGAGTTGCTTAACAACTGCATGTTTCACTTAACAGCTGTAGTGATTTGCTTAATAAGCATGGCAAAAATTATCATAAAATGGGGCACAACTGACTTTCTTAACAATGGAAATTTTGGGCTCAGTGGTGGCCATAAGTCGAGGACTACCTGTAACCATTCCTGTTCAGACTTTTCCTGCATTCAATGTGATCATCAGACTTTTCCTCTGTATATTCAGTATATTCAGCCTTTGCTATTGCCACTTGGTAAGGCCCACCGATGCCTCCTGCTGTTGAAGCTTAGTTTTCTTTAAAGCATTTACAATTTTTCAAGTACCACCAATTAACTCAAACTACTTTTTCCAATAAAAATGGCTTGAGTTAATGCATAGTAATATTTTATTTATTATATGTATATTTTATACTACCTAGATCAAAATAACCTTTAAGGGATTTACAAAGTTAAAAATTAGACCAGTTGGGCATCAAAATCAGACATTTAAACAGTCAACCAAATACTTGGCTGTTCAGTTATCAAATAATCCTACAGTGACAACTCCCAAATGTCAATTCCAATACGATGATCTTAATTACCTTACAAAATACCTTACAGAGTGCTATTAGGTAGGATCCCACTTTTACTTCCAAAGGCAAGATGTTCCAAAGCATTTGATGACACTCCACACTGATAGCTGTGATGAGTCTCCTCTTCCTTTTGCCACTCTTAGAAGTATTTAAAGAATATTTCTCTAAATACTCCAATGATAACATATGACCCTCTAGATGTTTTCTGCGTCCATCTCTGCTTACATAGCCAATGATTGGAGAGAATAGAATTATAATCTGACAACATCCAGATAATTCACACCTCATCTACAGTACTTTTGCAGTTTGGGATGCTTTTCAATCCAAAGGCTGATTTTGAATGTTGTGTATCTGCCCTAGATCTTCTATAACTCTTTGGTTGAGTAAGATAGTCTGAGGCTTGGGTTAACAGCTTCCAGCAGGCAGTATGTTGACGGTTTCCAGCAGGCGGTAAAGAGAATAAAGCTACAATACATTTAGCCATGTTTCCTTTGCCTTGTTGGAGATGGAAGCATTCTGTCTGTGCATGAGAGAAAAACAGTATTCCTGATATCAATAATGATTAGTGGAGCAGGTCCACCGTGTTTCCCCCAAAATAAGACAGGGTCTTATTTTCTTTTTACCCCCCTCCGAAATAAGCACTTGGCCTTATTTTCAGGGTTGTCTTATTTTTGAGGTGCAGGAGACGACAAGCATGGTCACCTCATGGCTGCTGCTGTGAGGCAATATTTTTTGGGGAGGTCATATTTTCAGGGAAGGGCTTATTTTAGTGCATACGCTCAAAAGCCCGATTGGGCTTATTATCCGGGGAGGTCTTATTTTGGGGGAAACAGGGTAATAACTATTGTATTATAGGAGTAAGATTTATTTACCAGAAATATGTGATAGGAATAGACAGTCTAGCACTACTAGGAAGACAGTCAAACACTATAAGTGTTTGGGAAGAAGTGGATCAGAGCCTGGCAGTTTGTTAGACAAAGATCACACAATGTACTAAAGAAATGACCCAGAGTAAATCCTTAACACTCTATACTCCACTGCCCTCTTGTGGTCAGTAAGTCATGAAGTGTTAAAGAGTCAGTGCCATTGAGTTCGTACTTCCCACAAGGCAAACTGTCCATTACCATGTTTTAGGGACAGAAAGCAGTAATTTTAGTAAACTGAGGAAATGTTTTCGGGGAATATACTGTAGCAAGAGACTCACTAGCTATCTCTCTTCTTTCTTTTTTTCCAGAAAACATGATGGGGGTTGTTTTGTGGCACACCAATAGCTAAACACATAGCAAGCATTGGGGGGGGGGGGGTATACATTCTGCTGTCATAAAGTGTCTAGATTTGGCTTGCCATATTTTCTAAAACCAGTTAGCTTCATAAGCAGGTTGTAGGTTAGTCCTTGCTTGGTAATTTAAGTCTTGGCAACCTGGATAAGAAAACTAAAAGGGAAGTTTTTTTAATTTTTGTACTGAAAAACATGTCAGTGGATCAATTACTAGAGACCAAATTTAATTTGATTTATGATTTCACCTGAATCCACTATATTTAAAGCCAAAGGAATTTGGCAAGTATGCATGACAATAATAAACTATCCACATTTCACAGTGAACCTATGGAAGTCATATATGGCTTTAGTCCTATCCTGAGATATTCCATCCTCCCTTGTAACGCCAAGTCTTGTTATTTTCAGTGGTGTTATAAGTTAGAACATAAGCTCTTATTGCTTCTGATGTTGATATTTGGGAATCATAAATTACTTTGATCTGCTGCAATTCAATATATCACAATTTGGTTCTTAGCCCAGCTCTGCCATGGGCTACTTCCTCTCTCACGCAGTCCCACAAACAAATGCAGAAACTCCCATTAATTTGTTTCCCTTCCTTCTTCTTCCATCCAGGCATTTATCTCGCCGTATACAAGTTGGATCTCCAGCCATCATGGTGATCCTGCAGATGCCCATTTTGATTGACATAGGTAATATCCTCACAAGCGTTCCCGCAGTGTTGTAAATAGGAATTGTTGCCAGTATTGAACTGGGATTGCTTTTGAATAAGGTGAACTTTTTGTCTGAAATAGATAACTCTTGGAGTAGATCATCTGTTTCAGGAAAACAACAGGAACACCTTGTCTTTAAAAACAAGAAAATTTCAAATTTTTACTACAAAATATGTACAATACACTGTCTATATATTCCACATTCCTATATATCCTGAATCATTCTCATTCATTTTCCATTATTTTTCCAGATGAACCAGACCCTCGTCCTGTCTTTGAAAAAGTCCTTTTGGACTGGGAAGAGGATGCTGAATTATATTCCAAGTTCTTAGACAGAAAGGTGAATTGTTCAGGGATTAAGGGCAGAGTACCCTGTTTCCCCCAAAATAAGCCCCAGTTAAGATTGTCAGCCAGATGGATGCATTTAGTACCATATCTACCTAAAATAAGCCCTAACTGGAAAATAAGCCCTAAATGCATCTTTTGGAGCAAAAATTAATATAAAACCCAGTCTTATTTTTGGAGAAATATGGGTAATATCTGAAGTATGGATCATAATATGATAGACTTCTAAGTTCATGGGATAATTAACTCATTTTACTTCTGCATAATCTACAGGTAGTCCTCAACTTACAACCAAAAGCAGTTCAGTGAGGTTAGCCCCATTTTACAACATTTCTTGCCACAGTTGTTAAGTGAATTGCTGCAGATGTTGTTAGTAGCATGGTTGTTAAGTGAATCTGGCTTCCCCGTTGACTTTGTTTGTCAGAAATAGTGATCTTATGACCCCGGGACACTGCAACCGTCATAAACATGAAGCAGTTGCCAAGCATCTTAATTCTGATCACATGACCATGAGGATGCTACAACAATCAAGAGTATAAAAAACAGGCATAAGTCACTTTTTTCAGTATCGTAACTTTGAATGGTCACTAAACGAACGGTGGTAAGTCGAGGACTACCTGTAATATCATAAAACCTCTGAGTAGTGTCTGGTCATTGATTTCTTAGCGCCCTCGAAGCTTGCTTTGCTTCCTGCAGACATTTCCTTAGTGTTACTCTGAAAGTCGGCTGGTCACTTCTGTCCAGTCATTCTCTCTTAAACCATCTCACTTCATGAAGTCACTGTTTTGGAAAATATAAGAGGAGGAAAAGAGTATGATGTATGTTTGCAGCCTTGAGTTACTTATAAAGTAATGAAGGCAGGATAAAAATTAGATAATTAAAGAAATGTCTGTTACTGTTATGTCTCTAAGAATTCTTCTGCATTTTTACATCTGGCTTACATGCCTATAGTTTTCCAATTGAATTTGTGGTTGAACTTGTCTGCATGTTGTGAAATTAAGGAGTTTTCATCAAGTCTTCTGACTTCTAGAAGATGTTTGTGAATGCATTCTTTGGGTTTTCTTCCTCTTTGCCCCACATAGTAATTTTCACAGACCTTGCTTA